AGGGTCAGACATGATATTAAATCTTAGATTAAATTGATATCTTGATCTCTTTCTTTCATAGATCACTACTCTTGACTTTATCTCAGACTTTTGAGGTAAAAAGCAGTAGTAACTTGAATGAGAAATAACATATTTTTGCTCAGCATCAAAATTCGGCTTCTGAAGCAGTATAAAATCAACTTTTTATTCAAATACAATTTGAAGACAAGAATAAATACAATTTGAGTTTCTATTCACATTATTTTGAATAAATGTGATTTTTGAAGAGTTTTTAAACTTTTTTTATTGTTTTTGTTGTATATTCATACTAAAAGAGAGTAGAGTAGAATCTAATCACTATCATCAGATAGTAGATTATAACTGTTCTGAAAAGTAGAAATCTCAACTGCTTACATTATATCTAATTTATCATCAGAGTTATTTCTCAATTCTCTAATCTTAACAGAAGTTTGAGAATTCAAGTTCTGTTTACATTTAGCTGAAGAGTTGAAGTTTGAAGACTTAGATAGTTGAGAGTTTCTTCTTTTTAAGCTTACAGTTGTGAGTTTACTGACTTGACTCTTCTCTTCAGTTCTAGATTGACTTTGAGCTTCATCTTTTCTTCAGTTCTTTTGAGTTCTAGAAGTAAATATACATTCTTTTGAGCTAGATGCATGTTTTTCTTTGCAATTAGAGCACTTAAGCAGAGTATGTTGATAAATTTCATCTCTTTTTAAGTATATTTCACATTTATGCTCACTAGTTTTGTGATCTCTGGCACAGAATGTACATTTTAAGTCTCTAAAACATGAGATTGCAAAGTGTTCATATCTTTGACAGTTTGAACACTGTGTTTGAGCTTTGAGATTCATTCTTGAGTCTTTGTATTCATGAACTCTCATTTTCAAACCTGCTACTCTTACTTCAGAGATCTTTGACTGTTCAAGTGTTTTTATATATACTAGAACAGAGACATTTCTCCTGCTTTATCTGAACTTAATTGAATTTAGTTATACAGGCTTCTTTCTCAGTTGAATAGAGTTGTATTCTTTCAATTTATTTTTAAGAAGTAGCATTTCTTCTTCATAGTCAAAAATTTCAACTGAAATATTATAAAGAATAAATTTGTCTCACTTTTCATCTCTTTCAGATAGAATTATTATGTTTAACAAAGATTCTACTACTGACTTTCAGAGATTCTTATTCTGAATAAGGAATTCAGCACTGAATTCAGATATTATAGTCAGAATAATGAAGTTTTCAAAGAATAATGATTCAATTGAAGCTATAACTGATTTTTAAACTTTAATATCAGTTATCAACTGAGAAAAGAACTGCTGATTAATTTCATTTCTGATTCTGAAAATGAGATTTGAGTTTAGCTTGTTTCTTTGCAGAATGTTCTGATTTGAGACTTTGAGAATAAGTCTTCTATTTCTGAAGATTTGAAAGTTTTTCTCTTTTTGCATTTTCTTTTTCACTTTTCTATGAATAGAGGCATGAGCAGTATTCTTCTCAGTTTTCTCAGGATTTTGAGCAGGTTTTGAGACAGCAGATTTAGAGACAGCAGGTTTAGAGACAGCAGATTCAGCTGCTTGAGTATATGTTTTCTTCTGATTCAAAGAAGAAGAAGAAGAAGAAGTAGAAAAGAAAGAAGAGCAAACTGAAGAGTCAGTGATTGTATTAGAAATTTTCAAAGTTTTTTAAACTGTGTTTGAAATTCCAAGTTTGAACTTGATCACTTTCTGTAGTTGTCTAGCCTGAGTATGAAGAATTAACAGAACTTCTTTATTCATCTCACTCAGATACTGCTTTTCAAGAATTTTACTTACTTTTTCAAGTTTCTGTATTTTAAGAACTTGTTATTTCTCTATCTCTTCTTTCTTTCTTCTCTTCAGAATTTCAATCTTAGAAATAGCATTTGAGAAAGCATCTTTCTTCACATCAACTGAGTGTACTTTTGAACTTATTGTTCTTACTCAATGAAAAGTTGATCAGACTAATTCAATTGAGATATTTATTAAACTCTTTTTGAATTGAAAAGTTGATCACACTGTTTCAATTAAGAGGTTTCTAAGTCTGTTTTCAATTGAAAAGTTGATCAGACTATTTCAAAAGAAGAATCACAGACTTTTATGTATAAAATACCTGATTTTTTTCACACTAGTTCAGTAACTAGGTTAGATTTTTGAAGAGAATCTAATAAACTAAAATTGATTTTTAAGATAAATCAATAAAATCTTTACAATCTCTTTCTTGAGATATAATAAGAAAAAGTATGATATCAATTGATAGTAAATCAGATGATATGACAGTTTTTAAGAGAAAAACTGATAAAAAATAAATCAATTTTTTGAAGAGAAATTGATTAAAACTATTCAATTTTATTCTAAATTATTCAATTCTTCTCACACAACAGATGTGCAACTCAAATCAGTTAATAAAGAGTGTAAAAAAGAATTAAGTATTAATAAAAGCTCTTCAGTCACTGAAAAAGTAATTCTTACTTAAAAGAATATAAAATTATGACAGAAAACAACTCTGTTTTTAATTCTTTGTAAGAATATTATATAAAACTCAGAGAAAAACATCTTACTTTTTTAAGAGAAGTAAAAAACTATTTCTAAAATCTTTTTTTTATATTAACTGCTGTAGAAGAATGAGATAGAAACTGCTAAGATATACACTACTGTATACTCTCTATCAAGACTTTCTCTCTTCAGAGTCTTGATATTATAGAGAATATAAGTCTGTTTCTATATGATAATATAAATATTATCAGCAGAATATAGAGAAACTGATTATTTATATCTTAAAATAGAAGACTTTGTCAATGATTATATTAATATAGAGTTAATTCTCAAATTCAATAGAAATCTAGTATTGCTGTTCTCAATCTCTTGCAGAATCTATTAAATATTGAGATATTAAAACTAGATTTAATATATCTCACTGTGCAGGAATCAAAGACTTAGTCAGATCTTAAAGTATACTGATTTTATAGTTATTATATCTGCTGATTATATATTGAGTACAGTTACTGAGATATCTTTTTATACTTTTCTATCAGAGATGAGCCAGATTGAGAGAGATAATATAAGAGTGAGACTTGATATTAATGTTCAGATACACTGAAGACAGACTGCAGAGATTGCACTTCAGAAGTGATCATTGATTATATACTTGATATTATTGCTGAGATATCTTTTTGTATTTTTCTGCTGAGAATGAGCCAGATTAGAAAGGACGGTATAATGATGAGACTTGATATTGATGTTTTGAAACATCAAAGATGGACAGGGTTTTCGCGAAGATCACTTCTCAGATATCTTCACAACTACAGATCAGAGATCTTTCAAAATTGAGAAGATTGGTACATATGACTAGGTCTCTTCACCTTACAATTTGTATGGCACTTTGGCCCGGGGTTGTGGTGTGATAGGGGAGAATGAGGGATACTCTCACACAGGAGTTTTGAACAACGTCCAGTTCATGTTTGGCTGGATAACTCCACCACCACACAGGGTATGCGGTCGGCGATGGGGTCAGAATGCTTGTATGATCGAGGGCTTTTCAATGGATCTATCGGCGGGTTCTTATTCGAAAAATTGAGCGAGTTTGTGGTGGAGCGGTTTTTGAATTATATAATACCTGTATTTTCTCCTGTATAATCAACACTTGGCCTGTATTTAACATCATGCAAGGACTCATTATAAGCTCTGCTTGTATATAAGTATAATGAAAGAATAATAATAATAATAATAATAATAATAATCAAAGATGAATAGAGTTTTCACAGAGATTACTTCTCAGATATCTTCACAATTACAGATTAGAGATCTTTCAAAATTAAGAATATTAATGCATATAACTAGATCTCTTCACATTACTATTTGTATGGCAATTTGACCCGGGATTATGATGTGATAGAGATGAACAGAGAATAATTTCACACAGAAGTTTCAAACAATATCTGATTTATATTTAACTGAATAACTTTATTATCACACAGAGTATGCAGTCAGTGATGAGATCAAAATACTTGTATAATTGAGTGCTTTTCAATAAATCTATCAGTGAGTTCTTATTCAAAAAATTGAGCGAGTTTATAAAGAAGTAGTTTAGCATTTATTACAATTCTGATAGTTAGTATAGTTCTTAATAATTTTATTCAGTCTGTTAAGCTATTAGCTATTAATTTCATTCTTAGTTCTGTATTTATATCTATATCAGTCTCTGCTATGTCTGTCAGTTCTAGATTATTAAGTTAACTATTAACTCATTTAACTGAAAGAATGTCTGAGAAGTTATTAAAGAAGCTATAGACTCTTATTAAATTATTTTATACTTATAAGTTAGTCTTATAGAAGAGTTATCAGATTAATATAAAAATTAATATAAATTATAAAACTCTTCTTCTATAATTTTATAATACTGTTTTTTCAGTTCTCTGTAGTTATTATATTAAAGAAGAAAACTTTTTTATTATTTATATTAACACTCTGAATCAGTGTTATAAAGCTTGTATTAGTTATTATTATAATAGTACTGAAAGTTACTACTTTTATTATAGAAGTAAGTTACTTTTTAATATAAAATATATTAATTTTAATATAATTAATTAATAGTTATACATAGTTAATATCAGTAAGAAGAATAATAAAGTGAAAGAAAAAAAGTAAAAGAATGAAAAGAGAAAGAAAGTTAAGAAAAAGAGCTTATTCAAAAAGTACTCTACAGCTGAGAATATAGAAGTTAGAGTCTTGAAAAAAAATAGATAATAAGTATTAAGTTAATTAATAATTATAATATTAAGATTTTAACTCTTTATATTGAAAATGAGACTCTGTATAAGAAGAATACAGTTCTGAAGATTAAATTCAGAACTATTATAAGTCTTCTTCAGATTACTCAAACTGTTCTTAAGAATAATATATAAGTTAATAGAACAGAGTGAGATATTTTTTATTTTTTTTCTTACTTAGTTAGCTGATGCTTTTACACTATCTTTATATGTTTTTACAGTTCTATTTCTTCTATTATTATTAATAATAAGCTGTAAAATCAATCTTGCAGGGCCTTCTGTTTTGAGCTTAGCTCTGCAATGTCTTTGCACACAGAGGCTTGTGTGCATTAAGATATTTTTACATTCAACCTGAGGGATTAAACAGCACATTTTTCAAGCTGAATAAGCGAGCGCAAGCGAGCGATTGAGGCTTGTTTAAAATAAAATAAAATAAAAATTATTGCTCCTCTCCGGTCAGCTCCCTAAACCGATCCTCAGCAGTCTTAACATCTGCCTCCAAGTCATGGAACCAGATCAACGGAAGCCTCCTGTTCGCATAATCTGTGAGTTTCTGTATGTCATGGCCAAATTCTGGATGGTCCAGGAAATAGGCAAGGAGAACCTCCTGGCTCTCTTGGACCACAGCCTGCGCCCGAGGCTGGCGGATGGAATTGTACACCTCAAAAGCAATCTCAAGTTGGTCTGGCTTCTCTACTAGACCAAGAAGTCTGGACAGCACCAACGCATCCTCCAGCCCTAGCCCTGCTCCGGCTGCCTGGCTCGGACTTGAGGCATGGGCCGAATCCCCTAGGAGGCAAACATGGCCGCGATAGTATGTTGAGGTGTAGGGATGGTGGAATAGAGGCCACCGGACAGGCTTTGTGTTCTATCTATTTTTGTTAACCACATCGCTGTAAATCCACATTCTGCGCATTCTGCGCATTTGAAAAGAAAAATAGAAGAAAGGCCTTACGTACGTCGTCTAGTAGCTCTATTAGTCGTTGATCAAACCCATCAAAATCAGAAAGCATTTCGTCCCTTGAAACCTGTATCGCCGTTTGCTCCCTTCCCCAGGACCGCTCGTCCTGGATGAAAACAACTACATTCACCTCTTCTCCCTTCGAGATCGGATATATTACACACCCCCGTCCCTCGCCCATGTACCACTTTGCATTTTCGGCATACGAACCAAGTATCCGCTTGGCTTCTTGCATCGGGACGATGCATCTGTAGACATATGTATTGCAGTACCTTGCAACGATTTCCTCCGGATATCCCCTCTCTAGTACCACCCCCCTGGTGATCCCCTTGATACCATCGCAGCCTAGAACGGCGTCGACCGCAAGAGCATCGCCGTTGGAAAACGTCAAGTATACCTGTTTCTTCCCCTCCACCTGCTCAACATGCACTACCCTCTTGCCAAACTCCACAGTTCCCTCCGGTATAAGCGTGCTCATCACCTCCAGCAGCGCCTTGCGATGCGCACTACTCCTCTCAAAATTCGGATGCGAAACCGACCCGCCGCGCCAGCCATCTACAGCCCCAAACCCCTGCGCAACACTTAGTATCTCAAACTGCTCATGCAGCCTGTCGTGGCATGCATTCCCGACCTTGATCTTGTCGTACATTTTCGCAAAGTGCGCGTCCATGAGCTCCATCGCCCGCAGCGCGTTGGGACCCATCCCGATCCCAGCGCCAACAGCATCGAATTGCAGCGCGGCTTCATAGATTTTATAGGACACGTTTTGCTTGCGGAGGCCGATGGCGAGGGCGAGACCGGCTATGCCTGCGCCGATAATGGCGATGGTGAAGGACGGGTCGGTCGGTGATGCCATGATTTTTTTTTCTTTTTTTCTTTTCTTTTTTTTCGGATATGATGGGTCAAAGTATTTAATATATGTATTAATAGGCTTGCTCTCGAAGACCTTGACCGTAAAAGTTCCACGAACGAAAAAGGCTTCATCCATTCATTATAAATAATGTGTGTATGTCATTTGGAGTCTGTCAGACCTGCTGTATATATATAGTATTGTGTCGTGCGACTATTATATTAACTGCCCTCTCAAATAACTACTAAATAGATTCCTCCCGCCCCGGGTCTCTCTGGGTGACATTATTGTAGCCTCATCAGCCCACACTTCCTTGCCATGCCTGCCTCCCACGCACGCACACACTCCTCGCATCAACTACACCACGGCATGTGTGCCACTGGTAAATTCCGCTCGTTCGTGAAGCTGTGCATTAATAATAATGTCATTTTGGAACAAAGGATGCGCCGCCAGAGGTGGCGGCGGTGGTGGTGGTGGTGGTGGTGACGATTCTTACAAGGCCATGCCCCTGCTAGTCCGGCTGCATAATGCCGACGGTGCCCATGATGGAGCTGCTTGCACTTTTATTATTCTTATTATCATTGTCATTATCATTATTATTATTAGCGTGAAATCGAGGAGACACGACATGCATCGTGGATGCACAGTGGTGTTTATTTATGGCCTTCTAGCGAGACTCTCGATATATATTTATTTGTTTAAACTGTCCGATCCCTCAAGAGGTTGAAAATCCTTGGAACAACTAATCACGTACCCCTATGTTTTTGTATCTTACGGGGGTATCCTCAAGTAAGTTCTGGGCTAGCCAGGCGTTGAAGGAAGACAGTCATCAATTTGATATAGAACAAAGCAACTCGGCGCTTGAGCTAATTTCTAACCTATTCGCATAGCACTATATACAATGGCCAGCTACCCAGATCCCTCTCCTTCGAGTTCCGCCGCTGCTTGTACTGTACAATTACCAACTCGCTCCTGCTTGAGAGAAGAATCTAGCTTGTTGCTGCGAATTTCATGTTGTGGGTTGCTGGCAACCTCGCGATACGATAAGAAATTCCGCAACCAGCCAAACACGCCCCACATCTATTGGTGACGGGTGATAATATACGAGTCCATTCCTGCGCCGTAGGTGTCGATGTTATCCTGCCCGCTGTCCTGTGTCAATGGCTATGCGGAACTCCTCAATGCTCCACTGACAAACCAGCCAACCTCCCGCTGCTGTACGGAGAACCCCCTCTCACCACTTCAGAGATTCCTCTGGAGCAGTGTAGTCAACCTATTCGCATGGTGCTCGCATTGGGAAATGATTTTCATTTCAACAGAAAGCCGATTAACAGTTTCGGTTAAATTCGCGGTTCGCGCCTACAAGGCGTCCACTCTGATAGGTTCCGGCCACGGGACTAGAAAAGCGACATGTTAGGCATTTACGTACCTAATTCATCGTCACAAGGATTGGTAGCCATGGGCCTTTCATTACTAACTTACATGCAGGAGGAGAGAAAGCACAAGCACATAGTTACCTATAGCAGGCTAGTGCTGTTTACTTAAGGGCCTTCCTAGATATCTCAGCATGCAGAATATATGGAAGCGGGATCCCAGTGCACAAATGTATAAAAGAACTTTGTCCGGATATGACCTTGACGTTAATACACCAACCCCCAAACTTTTCCATATGATTAATGCTGGTTGCGGTTCGTCTTTTGAATTTGCGGATGCATACATCCGCAACAACGTGCGGTGCGGGGTACAGAGTGACGTGTCTCATACAACGGGTTGATATTGCGGGTTCCTTTTCGAAAAGGGAACTATTAAGATTATTTATTGCGCAAGATAGCCGTCCACGTCTTGTTGTCCATCCCGGCGACCATCGGAGAATACGTGAAGTTGAAATCATTCGATGTGATGGGCTCAATCGGACTGGTCCCAATTAGATTTATCGGAAATGAATACGGGTTTCCCGTGCCTGATATATGCCAGTCTCCCGAAGCTTTACTTGAGCAGACGATAGACTGGGGTATCGATCCATATTGCTCTGTCATCGATTGGAGTTCAACCACCACCACCGCCCATGTCCGCATCGTGCCTGGAAGTCTTGGGTTATGGAGTTGCCTCGACATTAGACCTGCAAGTTCTCGAAGAAGAACTTGAGAGCCAGATAAATCTCGCGACCCCGCATGGCGATTGACATGGCAGAGAATGTCCAGGACCAGGGTCATTGCAGACATTAAGGTATAAAACACGTCCCACCAAGTCAGCGCATTGAACTGATTATACGCTTCCAACTTGAGTAGAATTGCGCCCAAGGCCCGCGCGGATTCAACGCATGTTTCCGATACTGTGTATAGGCTCTGCGGCAGCTGCTCGTTGGCGGCTTTGGATAAGCCCATTGCCCTGCGCAGCAACGCTGGCTTGGAGATTAAAACTACTACATAGTTAAACTGCGCGTGAAGTAGAAGTACGGGCCTTTGAGAGGACGGGGCCAGCGAATCAGTAACCTCGAGACGCAAGTGAGGAGGCAGGTTTTCTTTCCACTGGTTAAGGTCCCGTAGAATACCAGCTTCCGGCGACAGCGGCCTTCTGTATGCGTCCTCACCCGACATGATTCCCGTCCCCGCTTGATTCAACGCTTTGCACGTTGACGCCAAAAGCAACACTAGCTGCTGTGACCATTTCATAAAGTCCTGAGGGTAATGGCCGGCAAAGCCTATAATCCTTTCATTTGGATGGCTGGTCGGCGTCGTCACATCCCCGATGGCGCTGGGGCGATCGTACGATGAGACCTGCATTAGCTCAAATGCATACAAGGTCCACCAGAGTTGCTTCCCGAGCTCCCTTCGTAGGGGGCCTTGTAGGTGTTTGACGTCGCGATGTAGTCCGATGGCAAAGGCGACACGAATTGCTGTTCCGGTGAGATTCCAACAAGCATCTCGATGGTTTGTATTGTGTAAATGTAAAGCCGATAGCATGAGGGCTTGGATCGTGGAAAGATTTGTCGTAAAGAGCACAGCTGGGAGCAGTGCTTGAACGTATCGCCACCATCTCCGCTCTACCTCTTCTGACACGGTAATGGGGCCGCCGCGGCAAGATAGAATAAGGACACATAGCAAGGTGCAAAGCCAGGCAGGATCTGTAGTCGAAGCTGTCACAGACCATATTTCGTACGCCTCGCGAAACGAGCCTTCGTGTAGCACTGGGAAGTCAAAGTGTATTATATCGAAGTAAGCGTCTACTAGCGGGTCCAGGATAGACACATCATTATTCCTCAGAAGATGTGAGAGAGAGATACAATCGCTGGGCACATTGTGCAGCTCCCTAATTCCTCGCAGATCCTTCCCACTGCCCGTTTGATGAGCGCTGGCCTCGGATGTGCTGGGATGGTCAGCGGCGTTGCGGCCGAACATTGTAAACTCGAAGTTAACATAGCTTCCCAGCAGCATCCGCAATTTGCGATGGAGTTCAAATGAGCTGGACGGCCCAATGTATTGGATTTGACCCTGCTGATCTGGAAACAGTGAAACGGCACATTCATCCTCCTGTGTATTGGCGGGCTTCGTCGGCTTCTTCTCCTCTTCCGCGTCTGCAACGGCCTCATCATGATTAGGGAGCGAGATGTCCAGAAATTTGCCCAATTTCACTATCTCATCATTGCTGGATAGGTTGGCTTCCGGCACAAGGCCTTTGACTAGAGATTCTAGAAGGGCGAGTCTGTTGCGAAGGGTCTCATCGCTGCCATATATCCGCTGCTTGCGCGGGTGGTTGGTGCTGCACACGATTCCGTTTATTTGGCAATAGCGACAAGCTGGTTGACCTCGAACTCTGTCGCACTTTTGCTTCCTCGATTTGCACTTATCGCAGCTTATCTCGGTGCGTTTCCGTTTATCAGGAGGCACGCGCCTCTTATTTTTCTCCATCGCGCGCGGCGTTTGGCTGGCCGAAGCCCAAGAAGCGCTGTCGGTGATCGCAGGAGAAACCCACCACGTCGCTTGTCATCACGATAGCCACGGTACTGGTTGAGTTTAGGCGAGTAGTTAAACTCCTGGGTCTTTCGCGATGCTAAATCGCGGAGAGAGCTCCCATCACCCACGATTTTTTTAGGAAGAATTTCACGGCGTGTGTTGGACTTCTCAAGATCTTACGCTGTAACTACTGCGTCAGCTCATGGATCGGCTTTTTAACTGAGATCGTTCGAAGGCCATCCGACAACCCACGGGGAAATGCAGGATTAGACCCCGTTAAGGGCTCACTCCACGAATCATCTGTCGGAATCCTAGACGCTTTGTGATGTTAGCTCGAAGCCTAAACTGCTGCTAGCCACAAAAGACGAGCCAAGGCCCTCTACGTGGCGCGGCTAGGATGGATTTAACGACGACACCTCATTAATATTAATAATTATTATTATTGGTGATGGTTCTGGCGAGCACGGTCATCCCCCAAAATCTTCTTGAAAGGGATTGTTGTATATATATCTATCGTTCAGTTGAGCTGTTCGGGGATCGATAAGGCCTGGGACGGAGGAACCGAAGTCAAAAAGATTTGGATGGAATTTTCGAATTCCTGTGACCCTGGAAGTTACCTAGGTATGGGATGGGAAGTTCTCTCGTCCTGCCTCCCTCCGCTTCCCTGCGTCCATATTTCCATCGGAGGCTGAAGTTTAATAATAGTTAATAACCTTGGAAACGTGGGAGCTTGGAGATGTGACAGGCTCGGAGAATTAGCCTCGAGTTCGACTTGCGAGCGTTTTTCTCCGCAAGATTAGATTGGTGTTTAAAGGACAGCCTTAACTATTTATTTCCCTGTCCCGTATGCGGGTTCAAGGAACAAAGAAAGCCCTACTCTAACTCTATCAAAAACACACGGAACACCGGTATACCCTCTCTCTCGCATAGTGACGAAAATTAGGCCACGCCAGGCCCACAGCAGCAAATGCGGGATGTACTGTTACCATCAAGCGAGGCCATAAAACAATCCAATGCTGCGCAGCAGACATCCAACCACACGAAATGTGATTTGGCCCTTAATGTGAAGGATGCGAACGGTTGTTCAACCAGCAGCGTTTTCCAATTGAGCCAGATTTAGCTCCTTTTCACACCACAATGTTCCCCTTTCGAGATCCAAAGTTCTTCCTACCAGCGTATTTCCCCACGACGTTAGAGTAGTATCATATGGTTTCCAACATATATTAAGAAGGAATATTATCAATCCCACACTCTACTCGCTATTCCATGGACAACAGACAAACCAGCATACATTCTCCCCATCTCTAGATACACAGGTATCGCACGCACATTCATGCCTTCTTTCCACACTCAAGTCCTTCAAACTAGAGCAGGAGAGGGCATTGCGGAAATCGGTGCTGTCTACTGCTGAAAAAAAAGCTCCGCTTCTTTGAAGCAATAAAGTGGATAGGCACCATAGTTAACAAAACTGCAGAGCTGAAATTCCCCCCTTTCAAGTAGCTCGCGAAAAATAACCCGAATAAAATAATATT